TATATATATATATATATAATCAAACATATGTGAATGTTGCTCTGATATGCTGAAATGTGATATGTAATATACAAGTATGGGAAGGTTGTAGATATCATGAGATTAAAGACCACTAGTATTGCTTTCTTCCTACGGTAGAAACTTCGACGAAGATAGTCTGATTGTTACAGTTATCAGAAACACTAAGTTAATGCTGGGTTTCATCCTGAAATCTATCACGTGTCCTACAGTAGGATGTGTGATGCACTGAAGTTCCTAATGCACTTGTTACCTCGTGGGATTGTTCAAAACAGGCTATTTGCATCGTCTGTAGATATCCCGATTCGCCTTTATCGTCCATATTGCTACTTGTCGCCTCTGAGTGTCAGCTATTTTACACCAATCAGAAGGTGTAGTCAGTTAGCTGTGGCAGCCTTGACTATACTTTTGAATACAACGTGCATCCTTATAGCGCCATGGTCCATAGTCATCAGGGGCCCCGGGGGGGGGGGGGACCATCCTTATAGGGCCATGGTCCACAGTCATCAGGGCCCCGGGGGGGACCATTCTTATAGCGCCATGGTCCACAGTTATCTGGGCCCCGGGGGACCATCCTTATAGCGCCATGGTCTACAGTCATCAGGGCCCCGGGGGGGACCATCCTTATAGCGCCATGGTCCACAGTCATCAGGGCCCCGGGGGGGGGGACCATCCTTATAGCGCCATGGTCCACAGTCATCAGGGCCCCGGGGAAGACCATCCTTATAGCGAAATGGTCAACAGTCATCAGGGCCCCGGGGGACCATCCTTATAGCGCCATGGTCCACAGTCCGTGGAAGGAGTTGAGTTATCGAATCAATCAACAAAGTCACCGGAGGGCTGTCAGTCACCGCTAGTAGGCTCACTGTCGTGGCAGACAGGTGGGCACGGGAGCCGACCACTTGCCTCCCTCACGACACACGATAGAGCGAGCGCCGTGCAGCACAAAACCAGAACTGCACGTGTAGGTAATGTTGTCGTTAATGGGGTAGTAGAACTTGATGGAACTCATGGTGCCGGAGATGATGGTGCCTGGGTAGGTGCAGGCCAGCAGACCTGCAGGGAGAAACACATGGGTGAGGTGAGTACATGGTGAGGCGGTGTAAGGAAAGATCAGGCAAATGGATACTTAATATGCATCTTAGCAACTCAATTCTACATTGAGTTTTATTGTTTTATTGTGCATTTTAGGTCAGGGGAGCGAAAGGCACAAACTATGACCCCCCAGATAACCATGCTAGCTATCCGGACAGTCATTATAACGGGGCCTGAAATTAGACATTAAGGGCACACAGCTTAAAATAAAGAACCGAGGTTTCGGTCTATTCTGGAAGGACCGAAACGTCGTCACTTCCGTTATTTTCCGGTGTGGTTGGGTGTCAAATGCCTGCTGTCCATTAACTCCAAATATCTTCTAGCAGATTTCAATTTGGTGAGCACCGACTCCATCAGTAAGTTTTTCACTCCCGAGGACTTCCTTAAAAAGATACACTTGAGAACCTCTCTAAAGAAGATACACTTGACACTCTTGAAGAGGTTATACTTGACAATATCACTTAGCAAGACACACACACACGCCTGGGAGAATCACCAGGACTGTACCCATGCATGGGAGAATCACCAGGACTGTACCCATGCATGGGAGAATCACCAGGACTGTACCCATGCATGGGAGAATCACCAGGACTGTACCCATACATAGGCCAATCACCAGGGGCCATACCCATGCATGGGAGACTCACCAGGACCGTACCCACGCCTGGGAGAATACGTCAGTGAGCCCCACTTGCCGACAACCACAAACAAACTGCTCATGATTCTAGTAGCTTAGATTTAGAGTACAACGAACCAGTGGGTTTTTGTTTCGATTTCAACGGGTTTTGCTGACTTTAGTGTATAACCTTTCATCAACAGGTAATGAAAATAGGAATGTGCTAAGCCAGAATGACATATAACACTTGGAAGGGACGTTATGTCATAGATGAGAAATAAAGCAGCCACTTGGACCATTGGGAATTGAGTGGAAACCCCGTAAGAAGTGAGATCGTGGATCGGCTCAGTCCAAAAGTAAAGACATTCCGGCTAGATCTGAGACAACCCGAGACGGTCAAGTATCGTTGTGCTGACGATAGCTTACTATGTCAAGGGTCATAAATGCCTTGATCGTATCAATAGCTTGAGACATGCTTGATGGGGTTCTGGGAGTTCTTTTACTTCACAGAGCCAGGCCCGAGGCTAGGCTTGACTTGTGAGAGCTTGGTCCAACAGGCTGTTACTAGGAGCGGCTCGCAGGCCCACATATTCACTGCAGCCCGATTGGTCCTGCACTTCTTGAAGGAAACTATCTAGTTTTCTCTAGTATTTGCACTTATTTACATAGAGGGATTAAATCCTTATAAAAATGTGCAATTTAAGTCTCAGGCAGCACTCACAAGCGCCAAGGGACGACGACAATCTTTGTTTTCGAACCAAAGTTTGTCTTACCAGTGGAGAAATCCCCTTTTCTTGGAAGAACACTTTTCATTAGATCCTGAAGTTCAGATCGACATCAAAGGATAGTTTTCTCATGGGGAAAGTCGTTATAACGGAGTCAAAAATGGCGTGGACTACGTTTACTATTTACTTTTGGTACTTGAAGGGTTAATGTGGCATTGATAGTACGTGTTTAGTACCAGAATGTACTCCAGAATCATCCTTGGACAGTACAGAACACTTTATCGAGGGGAAAGTTTGTTATAACGAGGCCGAAAGCATCAGTAGATGGGTGAGAGACCTTTACTTCTTACGAAGACCAAATCACTTGGGATGATTGGTACAGCGGTGGTTTAGCTTTTGGCAGGTCGCCGTTCGGTTCCTGAAAATCCAATGGGTTTGGTACCATTCCTTTCCTTTGTCCTATCCCATCTCCTTGTCCTCAAATCACTTCCAAGTGGAATATAGTCGTTTTGGCTAAGAGCTTTCTCCTCATAATAATCTTACTTCACTTTCTTAGAAAGACGAACACTTAGCGATTACATGATTGAAGTTGAAGTGGCTGAAGGAGTAAAAGAAATTGGATATAAAATTAAGATTTTAAATATATCACCGCGAAGGAGAGCTCTATACAATGAATATATATAACAGATGTTTAAATTTAGGAAAAACTTCGGTAAATACTGTTTGGAAACGGATGTAGATTTAGGGAACAAATCACCGGTAAAATTATAGAATTGGGATCGATGAATTGTTTCAACCGTAGGTTAGATATATATATGAATGAGTTTGGTTGGATATATATATATAGGAGCTGCTTCGTATGAACCATTAGGCATTTTGTGGTTTCCGTAATTAATATGGTATTATAAAAAATAATTCCCCTTTAGTCACATCTACAACACTATTAACTCAAGTATATTAGCAGCGGGTTTTCATTTAGACTTGGCTCATTGTATATGACTGCATATTCCTTGTTGATTTTCTTGTTTCACCATCCCTCTGACTAGTACTTCTGCGTTTTTCCTTGGCTGGAAGAGGATTTCTCCAAAATCCTCTTTTGGAGGATTTGGAGGTAAAAATCCTCTTATGTAGGATTTCTCCAAATATTTGTTCAAGGTTGACTCAAAGAAAAAAAATACCGTATAATGTATAGTACATATTATCATTTTACAAAACTTTTCGAACCCACTCTTATAAGTGTACACTTAGGTGTACACTTATCACCTGACTAAGGCTCATTCTTCCTCTGTTCTTCCAATTTCGCCTTTTCTCCAAATTTTGTATGTACCTTACCTCTCAGTGTTATAAATCAGGTGTTCCCTCATGCCTTGTCATTCCTCACTTGAGAATGAACCATGTAGGTTCGAAACATTGTGTAGCATTATATTAAGTACTATACATTATACAGTAAATTTTTGTTCTTTGAGTCAATCTTGAACAAATATGATATTTGGGGAAATCCTCTTCCAGTTACAATAAAGATGCAGGAGTACTAGTCAGAGGGATAGAAGCACGAAATACGAAAGTAATCAACACGGAATATGCAGTAATATTCAATGAAACAATTATAATAATTATGGATCTAATGAAATTACCAAGCGTGTTCGGGCTTTGAAATAATCACCAAGACGGTACTCTCATTCGTGGAGGTACAACAAACTCTCTTAATCTGCTTACTTTCGTTTTCAATTCGGTTGTAGTGTCCCTCGTGACTCTTTCGAATTTAGTTTAGTTGGAGAGTATGAGGTTCATTTTTGCCAGTATATTCGTTTTTTTTTTAAGAATAACGTATATTGGAGACTTGTCACCTCTCCTGACGACTATCTCCTTATTCTCACGAAGGTACTCACACTCGGAGAGGTACACCAAACCCGGTACTCACAATTAAAGAGGTACACCAAGCCCGGTACTCACACTCGGAGAGGTACACCAAACCCGGTACTCTCACTTGAAGAGGTCCACCAAACCCGGTACTCACAATTCGGGATCTCATCGGACCATTGGCCATCTTCCTGGCAGACGATAAGAGGTTGTCCTTCCATCATGTAGTTAGGACTACACTTGACCTCGATGACGTCCCCGGCATGGAAGGGACCTTCTCCACTCACTATACCGTTGAGAGGCGGCGCCGGCGGAACACACTTGTCTTCTGTCGGAGGATGCAATACGATTAAGGATTCCTGCGTGACGGGACACGATAACACATTGAACGTGCAACGAGTAGAGGTTACTAAGAGGTTTGGGGGGGGAACTACAAGCCAACCTGTTGCAAGATATGCCGCTGAGATTGAATAGGTCTGGTGAGGATAAGACGTCATAGGTCTGTCAACATCGTCATTCACATAATGTCAATTAAAATGATGCTGTCAAGGCCCTTGTAATCAGTGCCACTCTAGTCAAAGAGGAAAATTTTGAATTAGAGTGTTTTTGTTACTTTGAATTTTCCCTTTTTTGTATCACCTGTGTTGTATTGCTGAGGTGAGCGCTAAGTGACCGGCCGGAAGATTCAGAAAACTTACAAAGCACATAGAAATATGTCAACATATTGTTCACGTTATATATATGTTACTGATTTTTTTTTAATGCGGTGATGGTTCATTGAAGCTGTGACTTAATAATGAAGTATTTTAATGTCAATATATATACAACTGAATTTAGTGATGATGCTTGTTCTTTCTCACCAAATGCTTGTAGATAAACTAGAGGTCTTGGCTGATGTTAAACACACACAAACACACCATCTGTGGTCTTAGTCGGGTTGAATCGTGTGCAACAATTGTAACAGATGTTGATTTTGATTTTAACCTAATATTTATTATATATACAAAATTCTAAATTGATAAACTTTCTGGATTTTGACAACAAAATGTCAATCATCTGCAGTAGTCACTTATTAACCTTAAAATAAAAATAAAAATGAATAAACAAATAATTGAGACTTCAATAAGGTGAACAGTCAAATTCACTGATTTCTCACGTTAAATCCAAGCTAATTCCCCTACACATAAAATACTCAGAAATACACCTTGCACTTCCTAAAGTGTCTGCAGATTAGAATGTGCAATAAGACAAGCATCTAGTAAAGGCTCAAAGAACTCCTGGGAACGTCTTATAAAACTGCCACAAGGTTCCAAACACACTATTACCATTCAAATGCCTCGTTACCACGTTCAGGTCACCTCTCTACACCATCTCTTCAAACATCTTAATACTTGCATACAAACATGTATGCGCACACTCAAATGGGTGTGCACACATGTATGTTCTGGGGAAAGGGGGTGAGGGAGGGTTAGGGGGGGGGGTTCTGTACAGTTCATTGTTAGTCTCGTATTATTGATCTTAAGTGGGGACCAACAGGAAGTACAATCGGCTGCATTGTCCAACAGGGACCTGTAGTGAATGACTGGGTTCCTCTACCAATGGTCCGAGACGGGGAGTAGGGGAGTTACCCAGAGTGATATTGTTCAAGGAAGCTATGATGAATGTACGACTCATTCCCTCTCCCCCGTTTCCCTCCTACCCCTTAGCGGTCACAAGAGAATGTACGCGTGTCTGTAATTATTGTGATTTGTATGGGGCAGTTATGTACCACCAACATGGTTGGCGCCAAGGGAAAGGGGGCTCCTGTGGCAGGGTTTATGTTTTGAGTCGGAAACAATATGAAGCAACAACTTCTTGTGAGTTGCTGAGCTGCCGTAGGGTGAGGACGTGTCGTCTGACCGCTCTGGCAGGTTGAAGAGGTTGCCGTTTTCGCCGGCAGGGGGTGTGGGTGTCTCTACCCTCCCTGCTGTCCCTGACTGGTGTTGACGTGGTGCTATTGCGATGAGCGGCCATCTTCCTGCTGTCGAGAGAGTAAACTCCGTGGGGTTGGAGTTTACCTGCCGTGCAGGGTATCCTCTCGTTGAGCAGGTCATGTGTGACGTGCTACATGTCCCGGTCGTGGAGGTCTACGGGGTTGAGCTGGTGACTGCTCGTCGGGTGATTATCAAGTTTGTGGGTGAGGAGGCATACCGTGGATTTCTCCGGCGGTACGAGGGCCGTACCTTGAAGTTGTTGGATAGCACTGGTTCTGTGGTCATTTCTGATCGGAGTGGTGCCGTGACGTATGTGAACGTCCATGGGGCCCCCATGGAATTCCCTGAGTCCCTTCTCCGGCGTTTCTTCTAGAGATTTGGCTCCATCGTCAGTGTGAGGATGCACAAGCTATCTTCTGGAAAATATGCGGGAGTAAAGACGAATATTCGTACCCTCGGGATGCGCCTGAGGTCGGACATTACATCCTCTGTCCGACTTTTAGGGTACTACGTGCGGGTGTAATATGCCTGGCAACCCCGTACTTGTTTCCGGTGTGGCATATTGGGGCATCAGGCTGCCGGATGCACTGCGGATCCGGTTGCTCCGGTCAACTTGTTCCGGGAAGAGGATTTCCCGCCGCTCCTTCTGGAGGAGGTCTCCGGGGATGAGGAGGTGAGCGTTCAGTTAGCGGATGCGGCTCCCCATACTTCGCCGGACGTTCCTCCGGTTGTTGCAGACTCACCTGCTAAATTAAGCACCATAGAGCACATTCACAATATACAAGCTGAAAACAACATTGCACAGACCATATACACTGACGGATCACTCAATACAGCTACAGGGAGGGCAGGAAGTGCTGTTATTGCTCATCAGCCCGATGGCAGCACAATTCAAAGAAATATCCGAATTAGTAACTGGGCGTCCACAATGCAAGCCGAGTTGGTAGCGATACTGGTAGCACTCGAAATTATTGACAACACTGAAGTAGACAGCTTAATTATTTCTGACTCCCTATCCTCACTACGAGCAATAAACAGTTTGCAATCAAGTAATAACGTGCTTGTCTTGGAAGCTAGACGTAGATATGTAAGAATATTTAGCAAGAGGGTAAATATAAAAATGTTGTGGATTCCTTCTCACATTGGCCTGCAGGAACATGACAAAGTTGACGCCCTCGCTAAGGCTGCAGTAAATAAAGACAGTATTGAATGGAATCTTGAGTTATCAAATAGGTCCCTTAAAAGTGTCATTAGACGAGAACTCCTAGATGGATTTGAAGAAAGTAGAACAGTGCAAACTGGAACTAGTAGGTCCATTGTTCATCACAATGAAATGTGTGAAGTAAAACATGTGTATGGGGCAAGTAACAAAGTCAGTAGACTAACAGATGTTGTCACAGCTCGTATAAGACTTGGCTACAAGTATCTCTGGCAGTTCGGCTTGTATAGGGATCTAGATGAAGTAAAGTGTAAAGTGTGTGGACATAGGCAGGGACACACACTCGAACACTATATCTTGGATTGTTGTAAAATTGAGCCTTTTAGAGATAAGTCTAAGCTCACTGTGTATGATATGGCAACCTATCTTATTACCATGGATAAATTACCTGAAATCCTTGCACTGTACCCACATTTTGCTTCCAGTTGATGAACGACATATGAGATTCAGAAACAAGTAGTGTATTGTGAGGACTAATAATAAACAGAAGCTCCCCTATGACTGAAATATCCCCATTGACCAAACTATTATGTATTAACGATAAAACCTACCATTAATGTATGATGACTTACTGTAAATATGTAGCTCTTGTAATAGCACTTTCTCTGTAACTACCTGACATTGTATCTATAAGGTGTGAAGGATTGAAGAAATTGTTTATGTAATAATCTAAGATGAGGTCTGATAAAGACCTTTTGTGCCCTCTGTAATGCTTTTGCGCTACCGCTCACAGGATGAGTATGGGGTGCACAATAAACTAGCCGCCTCCGGTGGCAACAATCAATCTCCTCCAGGTCTTGCAGTGCCATCGGATGGTCTACGTGCTCCTGTCGCTGTGTCCGCTGCTCCTGAAGGCCTTCCTGGTGATCGTTGTGACACGTCGCCGTCTTCTCCCTCGTCTTCGGCTGCTGCGCCTGGCCCGGTGTTCTCACCTCGGGTCCCGGATGTGCTGGGTGCTGGGGTGGCTGCGGAGCCTCCTGTTGTGTGTGGGCCGCTTCCCCCTGTGGTAGAGGCTGCTGCCGTTCTGCGTCGGCCGTTGGTTCGTCCGGCTGGTGGGACCCGTGTTTCTGGGTCCGCTTCCGGCTCTGACAATCTCCGGCCAGAGCCCAAACGTTCCAGGTGCTCGTCGTCTGCCTGGGCCGATGTTGGGGAATTCGGTGACTGTGGGTCCTTGGGAGTTGACGGTGTGGAACCGGGTGTGTCGCTGTCTCCACGGTTGGTGGTGGCAGAGGTTCATGTGCCTGCTGATGCTGGTGCCCGGGTCTCGGGGGTGCCTTCCGTTCCTTCTCCGCCTGGGGACTCTCCGCAGTGGGAGGTGGTGGCTCCCGCTGCCAGGGATGGTGTGGTTGCTGGTGCTGGGCGTGGCCTGGTGGTGACATTACGGAAGGATGCGCGTCGCCCTGGTTCCCTGCAGTCGTCTGGTGGTGTGCCCGTGGCCGCTGGTGCCCCGGTGGTGGTGTCCTATGTCCAGCCCCCTCCTGTGAGGGTACGTGTTGGGGACCTGGGGGACGTGTTGCCGGCGTCGGTAATGCCGCCGGGTCACTGGTCGGCGATTGCTGAGTTACTGCTGAATGACGAGCCGGGGGAATTTCATGGTGGGGGTGTTCCCATGATGTGGGGGATTGTGGCAGTTACTCGCGTCAGAAGTGATACCATTTGGGTCCCCTGCTTGGTGGTGTTTGTTGCTAGGGTTCCGGGTGACATGGCGTCCCCGGTGGGTGAACGAGACCCTTGGGGGTGGTTACGTTGGGAGGCGTTCAATGTGCGATTCCCACGGGTCTTGTTCCTGGGCAAGTATGTCCGCTGATTCCCTGTTTTTTTTTTTTTTTTTTTTTTTTTTGCTATTTGTAGTGCTGTGTGCCCCTCTGGCGTTTTGTTTGCCCCTCCTGTCTTCTGTGCCCGTGCCTCTCCCTTTGTTTGTGGAGGGGCCGGTGTTTTGCAGTGTGTATTCTCTTCATGTATTACCATGTTGTATTGTGTTTTCTTATTATTTTTCCTTTTGTTTATATTTATGATTTGTTTGTGTGTGCATTGTCTTGTGTTATGTTTCATTTTATACATTATGATGTGTTTTGTTGTCGGTCCTTCCGGCCGGTGCTTGTTTGTTTTGTTTATTTTCTTACGTTATTTACTTGT